CCGAGCCATACCTGGCTATTTTTCTGTTGCAGTTGCCACTGTTGTTTAGCAGGCATAGGCCAGACTCGACCTGCCAGCCTCCGTGTATGTGGCTAGCACCCTATTCACTGAGCTACAGGAGCCAAGCTTAATCTGTAGAATTTGATTGAAAGCTTTATATCTGTGAATTTTTTTTTTTTTGAGACAGAGCCTCAAGCTATTACCCTGGGTAGAGTGCTGTGGCATCACAGCTCACAGCAAACTCCAACTCCTGGGCTCAAGCGAGTCTCCCGCCTCAGCCTCCCAAGTAGCTGGGACCACAGGTGCCCGCCACAACGCCTGGCTATATTTTTGGTTGCAGCCGTCATAGTTGTTTGGCGGGCCCGGGCTGGATTCGAACCTGCCACCTTAGGTGTATGTGGCTGGCGCCCTAGCAACTTGAGCCACAGGCACCAAGCCTATATCTGTGAAATTAACTCCATGTTGACTTGTTTTCCTCAGGGAGAAGACAAATAGTTTCTCTCAGGTAGAAAAGATAATCCGAGGTTAAGGTTTTGCCCTGGAGGACAATAACCAGTTTTGCATATGACCTACTAATCTTCCCTTAATATTCTTTTTTTTCAAATCTCTATTATCGCTGATTCCCCAAGTTTACTGTCTTCCTGGTTCTCCTATTAGTAAATTACAGGTATTTCCACCCCATGTTCTTTTTCTTTTTTTTCTTTGAGACAGAGCCTTAAGCTGTCCCCCTGGGTAGAGTGCCATGCCAGCACAGTTCACAGCAACCTCCAACTCCTGGGCTTAAGCAAGTCTCCTGCCTCTGCCTCCCAAGTAGCTGGGACCACAGGCGCCTGCCACAATGCCTGGCTACTTTTTGATTGCAGCCATCATTGTTGTTTGACATGCCCGGGCTGGATTCGAACCCTCCAGCTTAGGTGTATGAGGCTGGTGCCTTAGCCACTTGAGCCACCCATGTTCTTTCTGTCTAAATTCATATGAGAGTTAGGTTTGTAAGTGCTGAAAATTACACCACTGGGCTCACCGAGGGTGGCGGGTTCAAACGCAGCCCTGGCCAAACTGCTACCCAAAAATAGCCAGGCCTTGTGGCCCGCGCCTGTAGTCCCAGGTACTTGGGAGGCTGAAGCAAGAGAATCGCTTAAGCTCAGGAGTTGGAGGTTGCTGTGAGCTGTGGGATGCCACGGCACTTACCAAGGGCAACATAGTGAAACTCTGCCTCAAAAATCCCAGGTTCGAACCACCTCCCTCAGTGTCTGTAACCAGCGCCCTAACCACTTAGCTATGGGCCCTGAGCCTGGTCTCAAACTCCTAAACTCAGGGAATCCACCCGGAGTTGCTACGATTATAGGCATGAGCCACCTCGCCGGGCCAGAATCCCGCTCTTTCCCTTGCTGGCTGTGAGACTTTGAATACACAACTTCTCTTGGTCTTGATTGTCTGTAAAACTGGGTTACAAATAGCAAATCCCTTCAGGGATGATTGTAAGAGTGAGCTAATACCTGTGAAGTAACGGCCAAGGTAGCTGTTAGTACATTTCTTTTCTTTCTTTCTTTTTTTTTTTGAGACAGAGCCTCAAGCTGCCGAGAGTGCTCTGGCATCACAGCTCACAGCAACCTCCAACTCCTGGGCTCAAGCGAGTCTCCTGCCTCAGCCTCCCAAGTAGCTGGCGCCCACCACAATGCCAAGCTATGGCTATTTTTTGGTTGCAGCCGTCATTGTTGTTTGGCGGGCCCGGGCTGGATCGAACCCGCCATCTGAGGTGTATGTGGCTGGGGCCTTAGCCGCTTGAGCCATAGGCGCCGAGCCAGTACATTTCTGAATTACTGTACACAGAGTCACATATACACACAGTGTTCTTTCTTAACCTTACAGGCAGCAGGGCCGGCGCTGTTGCGCGGCTGGGCTGGCCGGGAGGCCCCAGCACTTGCGCTCCTGCCTGCCACCCGAGTTATGCGTCTTGCTTTCACTCAATCAGGAGCCGTGACTTATCTAACTTCTCTCCGGCGGTCTTCAGGGCTAATTCCTTGGTTTTGGTATCTGGCGTAAAGCCGGGTGTCCTGGAACGAGACCCTAACCGCGCGGTTGTCTCCAAGGCAGCCATCTTCTGAGAACCTTGGTTGTCAGGTCCCCGCCCCGAGGCCACGCGCCAGGCCCGCACGTTCCCGACGCCTTTTGCAGGATAAAGACTGGGAACCGGACAGCCGCGGACCGCACAGTTCAGCCCCACTGGGCGAGCCGGTTGCAGAAGGCACCAGAGAGCAGGTTACCAAGGGTGATGATACCACATTAAGCCTAATAGCCCCAACCCCGTTCGGCGCCCCCCAGCTCCGCTGGCTCCCAGGAGGCCCCTCCCCGCCCCGCAGGCCACGCCCCATCCCCGGACCCGCCCTCGGACACTGGCTCCGCCCGCCCTCCCGTCTCTGCTCTAGCGCGCACTGCGGCTGCGCCGGCGTCTGGAGCTCCGAGGCCCGGGCGCCGCGGCTCTTTTGTTTCGCAGCCGAGCCGGGCCGAACCTGAACACGAATAGCCAGAAAGCCACGAATAGCCTCTCGATCTCGGAGTCAGATCGAGATTTAGATTTAGAAGTGCCAGGGGCCACCGCGTCACACACGCCGGAGGGAGCGCCACCCCGTCCGGCCCGCGGGGCTGGGACCCGTCCCCGGCCTGCCCGATGGGGCGCGCGGCCCCGGCGATGCGCCCGAGCCCGGCCCCGCGCCCCTGGCCCCGCGCCCCCGGCCCGCCATCCCCGGCCCGCGCTTCGGCCTGAGCCGCGCACGTCCTGGCCCGCCGCCCCCCAGCCGGTGTCCTCGGCCCGCGCGCGCCATGGAGCCCGGCCGCGGTGGCACAGAGACCGTGGGCAAGTTCGAGTTCTCGCGCAAGGACCTGATCGGACACGGCGCCTTCGCTGTGGTCTTCAAGGGCCGCCACCGCGAGGTGAGGCCCCGACTCGGCTCTCGGGCCGGACCGTAGTCCGGATTCCCGCCCGGGATTCTCACCGGGAAACCCCCACCAGCCCAGATCCCCACCAGGGACCCCCACTCTCGATCCCTAGCCCGGATCCCTGCCTCTAAGCTCTCACCCCGGATTTCCAGCCCGGCTCCCCACCGGGACTCCCACCCTTGATCCCCCGCCCGGATTCTCACCCTAAGCCCTCAGACTGGATCTTCAATCTGGGACCCTCCTTATCCGACACCCCTGGAGCCTTCCCCTCAATATTTGGTCAGGGGTGGCCTGGCCCTGAAGGTCCACGTTTGGTTTTCAGAAGCATGATCTGGAGGTCGCGGTCAAGTGCATTAATAAGAAGAACCTCGCCAAGTCCCAGACGCTGCTGGGGAAGGAAATTAAGATCCTCAAGGTGAGTTGGTATTTTGGAAGGGAGGATGGTGGGGAGAGGGTGGTGGGTGAGTCCTCACCTCACTTTCAAAACTTGGATTTCTGTCCTAGGAACTGAAACATGAAAACATTGTTGCGTTGTATGACTTCCAGGTAAGGCATCTGGACTGCTGTCTGCTGCTCAGGGTGGGGCTTGCAGTGGGTAGGGGAAAACAGAGGGAGCTAGGCACCTGAATGCAGAGACAGGGTATGTAGCCTGCCTAGATCTGAGGCCTCATGGGGACCTGGAGACCCTATCTTTGATTCCATCTGGGACCTGGGCTTCCTTTCTGTGCATTGGATTTCTGAGGCCTCCAGCTGTTTGTGGAGAGGTCAACCCCCACCCCCACCCCGGTGGTTGAGTTACTTTGATTGAGTTACTTTGATCGTGTGGGGTCTGGCCACAGTGTGGCAGGTGGTAGATCCACTCTTCTTCGGCGTTAGGCCCAGTGACTCTGCCTGTGACTGTGGTGGCCCAGGCAGGCCTTCTCAGTCCTGGGAGCCGGGCCCACCTGTCTGGGCCGCCTTTTGTTTGTTGACATTGCTCCAGTGGGCTGGCATTGGCCATGCTCTCCTTGCGTCAGATGTGGGGGGAGGGGCCGTAGGAGATTCCTTCTTGCTGGCAGTTGAGTTGGTCTGGCCAGCACAGGAGATAGCCACAGGGTGGCTGATGAGGCCACCTCAGGCCTGGCCTGGCAGGCCCTAGAAGGCAGGCCAATCGATCAGCTGTCTTCCCACACTGCCCCTCAGTTCCTGGGGCCCAGTGGCAGGCAGGGTTGGGGAGCCTAGATCCCTGGTTTGGGGACCAGGAACCCAAGGCGGCAGATCTGCCGGCCAAAGTGCTGACTAATGATTTTGAAACCTGTTTACTGAGGCCACAGCCCAACCCTGGCTGAGGGAGGTTCCTGGCCTGGCTGGCTGTGTTTTGGTGGCCTCCTCCCTCCTCTGCTGTCAGAGCTTTGCTGTGGCTTTGGGGGCCGTGGCTTGTCAGAAAGTGACGTGCAAGAGGGCCCAGCTCCAGTGTGACAAGAAGTACCTGGAAATTCAGGCACGTGGTGTTCTGGGTCCAGGATGACCACTCCCACCTGCTCTCGCCTTCCCTCCCTCTTTGCCTCTTCCCACCAACTTTCTCTTTTTCCTCCTCATCCTAGTTTCTGAAACCTTTTGACAGGGCCATGGCCCACTTGGTGTATGATGCCTGTGGAACCAGAGTGGAGTGGACAGCCTGTCCCTGCACAATTGCAGACCCCATAGTACCCCTTCTGGGCCACACCACAGGGTTCTCTGCAGGGCTCCTTAGAAGTTCAGTGCTGGGGCAGCTCTAGGGGGGCCTGCTGGGAATTGGGCAGACAGGAGGCTGGGCCCCAGGTGACTGTCTGCACATCCTTGTTTGTCCCCATGGAGAACTGGGCCTCTTCCACTGCTCCAGCAGCTCTTTTCCCACCCAGCAAGTGCTGAGAAAAGCCTGGTGCAACTGCTTCACATTGTTTTATTTGAAACAGAAACCAAGATTCAGAACAAGAGTAATTGGTTTTTAAAAATCAGTAATCAATGGTTTGGCTAAGGGAAAACAATTCCCAGGCATTTCAGATGGCAGCATAGTAAAAGTAATTGTCCTATCCCTCTCCAGATGGTGTCCCACTGTCTTCGCCTCAGAAGTACGATAGATAGTGGGTTCTGGGCCTCCGGGGATGCCATCATCACAAACAGATGTTCTCCCTGCCATACCCACTGCTCTGTACTGGGATGGGCTTCACTTGTGAATGCAGCCACAGAAGGCTCTGTTCCTGCACGACTGCCCCTCGTGCTTCCTCCCCAGAGGTTACCACCTGGGAGCGACATACCTTAGAGCCAACCTCTCTCTGCAGCTAAGCGACTGGTCCCAGTCCTGGCTCTGCTTTGTGCATGGGTGGTGTCCTTGGGCAGCTCCTGTGTCTTTCTCTGTGAAGTAGAGACCCAAGGTTTTGAGGAATGGGAGCAGATATCCTTCAGTCATAGAGACCACCACCGAGGTGTTAGGTGCTATCGTGACTGGGGCCATGGTGGTCATTCGTGGCCCTGTGTCCACTGCCCAGTTTTCTGGTGTCAGAACACCAAGTGCCTGAGGTCTTGTTGAAACTGGCACATCAAACAGTGTGGTAGGCACTGCTGCTTGCTCTTTTCCACAGTGTATGTGTACACGATGCATCCTGTAGTAGGATCCCTGGCTAAGAGGGATGCCTTCCATCTGATAGCTGTTGCCAAATTGTCCTCTAGAGAGGCAGCACTAGCAGTCACTCAGTCTTAAATCCGAGTGCCTGTCTTCTACATCCTTGCCAGGAGGGCAACTCTCAGACATTTTCATCTTGGCCCATGTATGAGGTGGAAAATAGCATCTCTTGTGGTTTTGTTTTTCATTTTGAGTGAGCTTCAGTGTCTCTTGATGTGCATGTGAATGTTAGAAAGGCCTTCTTTCCTCTGCATATATTTCTTTTTCTTTTTTTTAAGAGACAGAGTCTCACTTTGTCATCCTCAGTAGAGTTCTGTGGCATCACACAGCTCACAGCAACCTCCAGCTCTTGGGCTTAGGTGATCCTCTTGCCTCAGCCTCCTGAGTAGCTAGGACTACAGGAGCCTGCCACAATGCTGAGCTATTTTGTTGTTGTTATTATTGTTGCAGTTTGGCAGGGACGGGTTTGAACCTGCCACCCTCAGTATATGGGGCTGGTGCCCTACCCACTGAGCCACAGATGCCACCCAATACTTCTTTTTTATTTTTCTCATATAGTAGTCTTCTTTGTGAAAATTTTCTTTTCTTTTTTTTTTTTTTTTAAAGACAGAGCCTCAAGTTATCCCCCTGGGTAGAGTGCTGTGACATCTCAGCTCACAGCAACCTCCAACTCCTGGGCTCAAGCGAGTCTCCTGCCTCAGCCTCC